ATTGATGTGAGTGGGGTGTTAAAGTCCCCCACTATTGCTGTGCTCCTGTCAATTTTTCCCTTTATGTTTCTTAACTGCTTTATGTATTTAGGTGTTCCTATACTGGGCACATATACATATTTACAATTGTATATCTTCTTCTTGTATTGATCCTTTGATCATTATGTAACGTCCTTGTCTCTTGTTACAGTCTTTGTTTTAAAGTCTATTTTGTCTGATATAAGTACTGCTACCCCTGCTTTCTTTTTGTTTCCATTTGCATGGGATAACTTTTCCATCCTCTCACTTTCAGTCTGTGTCTTTAGATCTGAAGTGAGTCTCTTGTAGGCAGCATATAGATGGGTCTTGCTTTTGTATCCCTTCAGCCACTCTATGTCTTTTGACTGGATCATTTAGTCTATTTACATTTAAAGTAATTATTGATAGGTATGTACTTATTGCTATTTTGTTAATCATTTTCTGGTTGTTTTTGTAGTTTCTGTTCCTTTCTTCTACCTTTAGTGTTATGTTTGGATTCCTTTCTCTTTTTTCGTGTGCATCTATTACAGATTTTTGGTTTGTGGCTACCATGAGATTTATATATAACTATACATATAAACTATATATACATAGTTTAGTGTTTTGACATCATATTTAACACCTTTTTGTTTCATGTATCCCTTAACTACTTATTGTGGATACAGATGATTCTACTACCTTTGTCTTTAGCACAGTTCTGTTTTTTGGTTTTGCTGCTATATTTAGTATGAAATCAGTCATATAAGTAATTTTTAAACATTTTATTAAGACAAACAGTATATAACTTAAACTTTACTCTTGAATTAATATTTATCTATCTACCTATCTATTTATTTATTTATGGCTGCGTTGGGTCTTTGTTGCTGTGCACAGGCTTTCTCTAATTGCAGCCAGCGGGGGCTTCTCTTGTTGCGGAGCACAGGCTCTAGGCACGCAGGATTCAGTAGTTGTGGCTCGCGGGCTCTAGAGTGCAGGCTCAGCAGCTGCAGCACACAGGCTTAGTTGCTCCACAGCATGTGGGATCTTCCCGGACCAGGGCTCAAACCCGTGTCCCCTGCACTGGCAGGCAGATTCTTAACCACTGAGCCACCAGGGAAGTCCCTACTCTTGAATTAACCTTGATTTTATTTCAGACCTTTGCTTCACAAGGAATTTTAGTAAGGTGAAAAGTTAAAAACTATTGAAAAATCTAAAGATTTTTCAACCATGCCTGGAAACTATAACAAAATCTGGTTATTCTAGTGCCAAAAAACAGTTTATAGTAAGGAAGGATTGGATTAGTCCTGAAGGACTTAGTGCTTCTAAAAAAACTGGCAGCCATCAATTTTTGGCTACACTTGAAGACAGCACATACGGGATCCAAGGAATCCCAGGAGTGAGCAATCTCAGAAATGTCTGGATTCAGAGTCTTCCCTAAAGATATTCCTCTTAGTCTTGAATAATTCATAAACTAGGTAATTCCATCCCTGACTGTCAATGAGGTGATAGCACCTTCTACCTCAAGGCCTGCTCAATGTCAAGGTTCACACATCAAATACCAGACTGAGGAGCTGGGGTGGGGGCCTCAAACAAAGTGACAAAAGTGCCAAAAGCATATGCACCACCACAAACAAAGCTTCTCTGGATATTCTGAATAGCCACCCATGCCCCCACAATGTGCAGTTTTCTCACTTTACAGCTTTTTATACTTTCTAAGATTCCTTTATACTTTTCTCTATAAACTAGGATGAATTAAGAAAAAGAAATGACATCAAAAAGAATAAACACATGAGAACAGCAAAGGATCTTTGAGAAAAAGCAGTAATTAGCAAAACAAACTATAAAGCCATAATAATTCAAACTGCAAGGCACCAGCACGAGTATGTAAAACTTAGAAAGTAAGAAATAGACAAAATGGCTAACAAATTATTCCCATCACTATTTCTTGAGAAGTTCATCCCTTCCCCAATGCTCTGAATTGCCAGCTTTGCATAAATCAAGTACACGTGTACACACACAAACACACACACACACACACACACACACACACACACACCTTCTTTCCCTTCTTCAGAGTACTTCAGTTATTATTAGTTTTTTTCTTTCCTATGCATATTTTAGAATGAGCTTATCAAAATCTCCTCACCAGGGGCTTCCCTGGTGGCGCAGTGGTTGAGAGCCTGCCTGCCGATGCAGGGGACGCAGGTTCGTGCCCCGGTCCGGGAGGATCCCGCATGCCGCGGAACGGCTGGGCGCGTGGGCCATGGCTGCTGGGCCTGCGCGTCTGGAGCCTGTGCCCCACAATGGGAGAGGCCACAACGGTGAGAGGCCCGCATACCGCAAAAAAAAATATTTAAAAAAAAAAAAAAATCTCCTCACCCACCCCCAAAAAAAGCTGCTGGAATTTTAATTGGAATTGCCTTCAATCTACAGGTCAATTTGGAAAGAACTGACACTTCTACAATTCTTAATCCTTAAACATGGTATACATCACCACTTAGTTAAGTCTTCTTTAATGTCTTTTGGAAGAGCATATATAGATTGTACTACAATTTACATAAATGAAAAGTAAATTTATTTTGGATAATAAATAATGTTCTCTTTATATGCCCTTTTTTCTCTAAGTCTTATTACTACATGAGCAGTGATAGTCAATGACAATTCCTTCAGGATTAACGAAATGGTTTCAAAACTTGCTGACGCTACAGCTCATCTCCAGTTTGACCTCTCCCACCAATCCACAACCACCTTTAATTTTCCAAGGATCTCAGAAGCAGTAGTATGAATCCACTTCCCATAATATACAACTAATCCACATTATCACAAAAACTGCAAACTAAGCCAACCTTGTAAAGTCCAATCCAACTATATCCAAAAGTCAGAGATTAAAATATATTGCCAAAATATATAAATAATTCACAAAAAGGAAATACCAATAATCCTTAATCCTTAAACATATAAAAATAAACATAACCTTGATTGTTAAAGGACCACAACACACATACATACACATATATTTTATTTACATACAGCAATATTTATATATTTTTAAAATTCATACTCAAAAGAGAGAGATGGCCCTTCCAACCCTGGGGTCAGGGGAAAGGGGAAATACAGACTTATTTACCACTATTACACCATTTTCGTTACTGAAAATCAGTAGAGGAAAAGAATTAAGTGTTTACCCTTATTAATAATGTAGTAAAAACAATGTTTTATATATCCTAATTCATGAAAGCACTCCTTCACAGGAGAATTCCAGTTAATAAATGTACAAGAAATGACCAACTTAAAAATACTACCATTTTGGAATCTCTTATGAAATAGGTGATTCAGACCAAAATCATCAATGGATGCTAAAACACACTCAAACCTCTGATCAGTCTTAGCATGATAACTGATATAAACCCACACATTTTCTGTAACCTAATGAAATACAATATAAGGTACCTAGCATCACTTATGAAATACTCTTACCAAAAATGTTTAACCCAAATTTTATCAAGCCTTTAAATCTGATGTCCAATTTATAGAAAATACAGTAAATAAAAAAACAAAATATAAGAAGCAATCAGGTAGGTCTAGAAGGTGGAACATTCTACAGAAAAACTGACCCAGTTTGTTAAAAGAAAAAAAAGAGTAACAGCATAGGGAAAAAAATAGTGGCAGGAGTTGGGGAGTACATACCTCTATTCGAGATTAAAGACAGAAGAAATGTAACTACCTTATTGCAATGTATTGCAATGCAATGTATACACCTTATTTATTTCCTAATTGTAACAAATGAACTACAAAACAACTAGGGAAATTTGAAAATGGACTGGGTAAGAGGAATTATTGTTAACTTTGTAAGGTGTGACAATGGTATTACAGTTATAAAAGAAAATGTCCATATTTTAATTTACTTTAAAAAAACCCTAAAAAATAGATGAAGTAAATATGGAAATAATCCAAATGGCTATTAACTGATGAATGGATAAAGAAAAGATGGTATATTCATACAAAGGAATCTCACTCCAAAATAAAAAGGAATGAAATATTGATACATGTTGTAACATATCACACTCAAAGATTCCAGGGACTAGGACACAGGTATCTTTAGGGGGCCATTATTCAGTCTACATAATAAAGCTGTTAAATACAAATAAACAAAAATGTTTACAATCTACATACTGAGTAATAGGAATTCAATATTCTAGTCACTCTACATAATTATGTGTCTGTCAGTTTTTATAATAAAGAGTTAAAAATGAGATATTGGTTTTCACCTACCAAATTGACAAAGGCCAAAGAATCTACAAATGCATTAAATTGACAGAGGGGTGGGGAAGCCGACCTTCTCATACATTGCTGGTAGGAGTGTTAATTGGTACAACTTCCATGGAGCAGTTTGGCAAATTACAAATGCACATATACTTTGACCCAGCAATGCTACTTTGAGGAATTTATACTGGAGATTTATTTGTATGCTTGAAAAATTATGTATGCAGCATTATCTGTTATAACAAGAAATTAGAAACAATCTAAATGTCCACCAATAAAAAACCGATTTCATATAATCTATGCACACTCTGCAGTCATTTAAAAGAATAAGGCAGTTGCATATATGCATATACATACGTTTTACTTAACTGTGGGGAAAAAAAGCAAGGGACAGCAAGCAAAAACAAAAAAGAAAGGTATGTGTAGTATGCTACCATTTGTGTTTCAACAGTGCTGTAAAACTACATGAAATAATATGGTTTTACTACCTCTGGAAGCATTCAAAAGAAACTGCTCCTACCAGGAATTATCTCTGGGCAAGGGAGGTGGCTGAGTCGGGGAAAGGAAAGAGAAAAACTTATTTCCTCCTTTTCATACCTTTTGAATTTTCTACTGGTACATATACAACAAATGAAGGGACAGACAGATCATTAAAATAAAAAAAAAATTTTTTAATCAGCATACCACACAAGCTTATGTGGCCCTTGATACAAATTTTCAATCTCCAAGTACACTCTTACCTGCTAGTTGGTGCAGGGAAAGAAAATGACAGTAGCTGATTCCAGAACGGGTCATTCTCAGAGACAGATTCTGTGCCTGATAACTTTTTTAAGTACTCATTTTTAGGAAGATCACCAATTCTGCTGCTATTCGATCCCATTTTTTAATCTGGTAGATAACTTGTCCTTAAACCTTCATTTCCACAAGACAACCTACAAAGAATGAAAAGAAATTTCAAACGTGTTCAAAATAATCATCATACGTTTCTTACCCTTGACCTAAATGTAAGAAATTCTAAACTTAGTAAAAGAAATCATACCTCTCTTTATTTTTAAATATATTAGACATCAGATACAAAGTTACAAGGCGAAAAATGAGGCTAAAATCTGTCTTAGCCAACATAACACAAAATCCCAATCTATACTTGTAGATCTTAGAATGGGCATACCTTTGCCCAAGAAAATGTCTCAAAGCAAATTCATAACAATAACTTATTAAAAAATAGTCTAAAACAATGGTGCTAAAGAAATAGAGACTGGATGGCTTGAATGTGCTAAGGGCAGAAAACTGTTCAAGTAGTTACCATGTGCTACCTACACTTAAGGAGAGAATGAGGACTGAAGTGAGTTACCGGCTTAAAGTGAAAGGGCTCCCAATTCCAAAGGAGTCACACACAGTGTCTCTCTCATCCTGCTGTAATGCACATATACTTTTTGCTGGCATTCTTAGTCTCCTAAATCATGAGCTGTTGTGTTTTGCTGGGGTTTTTTTTTTTTAAATAAGAACTATCTTATTCATCTTTCTAGATGTCTACAGTAGCATATAACAGGCATTCTCTAAACAGCATTATGTTGAAGGAAGGAATGAGTGTAAATAAATTATTACTGTCTTCATTATTTGTTGTGCTTGGTCTCGAAGGGGAAAACTAACAGATCAGTTACAAAATGAATCACAGTCTTCATCAAATTGCATGTAACATAGTTCAAGATCATGTTTTATCTCAACTTGTTCAGAAAAAGTCTCTCACTGACAATAAAATAATGAATAATAAATTAAACTAAACTAAAATTACCATCACAGGGACTTCCCTGGTAGTGCAGTGGTTAAGAATCCACCTGCCAATGCAGGGGACATGGGTTCGAGCCCTGGCCTGGGAAGATCCCACATGCCACAGAGCAACTAAGCCCGTGCGCCACAACTACTGAACCTGCACTCTAGAGCCCGAGAGCCACAGCTACTGAAGCCCGCGCGCCTAGAGCCTGTGCTGCGCAACAAGAGAAGCCACTGCAATGAGAAGACTGCACACCACAACAAAGAATAGCCCCCACTCACCACGACTAGAGAATGCCCGCACACAGCAACGAAGACCTAACGCAGCCAAAAATTAATTAATTTTTTTTTAAAGATTACCATCACAATGAAAGGAAACTACATGGGTTCGGTGGCTAAAGGAAGCTCAGGTTACAAGAGAATTTACATTAGTAGTGACTTACTTTCTCACCTACGTCCCTCCTCATTCCACAAAGACATCGAAGCCAAGATCAGAATTTGGAGGCACGTCTTCCACATTCCCTTTGGAACTCGGGGGACTGGCTTGAGCTGCTTATCTAAGGACATGAGGCTTCCCCAATGCACATGGACAGCTGGGCCTTCTGAATATGAGCGGGAAACACTGATCTGGCTTCTTATCACCTGCCTCTGAACTCAACGCCACACACTACTTTCCTCCTCCTTAATCATGGGGACAGGGACCCCAACACTAGCTGACTCCAACTCAGGCTTCATATCAAGCCAACAGTCAGTCATAACTCTAGATTTCAGTTTAATGTCTCAAGTAATTATTGAGCCCAATTAGAAAATGCTATAAAGAAATATTCTGAAATATATAAAGTCCTTACTTGTCATACCCTATTCCAAAGCTACTTTATACCTTTTAAGCTATTTAAAATTAAAAATTTTAATATCTTAGCAATGAGATATAATACACTAGTGAAAATTAATTAACTAGAGCTACAATTACCAACATGGACACACCTCAAAAACAAATTATTTTTGGGCTTCCCTGGTGGCGCAGTGGTTGAGAGTCCGCCTGCTGATGCAGGGGACAGGGGTTCGTGCCCCAGTCCGGGAAGATCCCACATGCCGCGGAGCGGCTGGGCCCGTGAGCCGTGGCCGCTGAGCCTGTGCGTCCAGAGCCTGTGCTCCACAACGGGAGAGGCCACAACAGTGAGAGGCCCACGTACCGCAAAAAAAAAAACAAAAACAAAACAAAACAAAAATTATTTTTTAAAGAAAGCGATAGAGGGACTTCTCTGGTGGTCCAGTGGTTAAGAATCCGCCTTCCAATGCAGGGGACGAGGGTTCAACCCCTTGTCAGGGAACTAGGATACCACATGCTGCGGGGCAACTAAGCCTGTGTGCCACGACTACAGAGCTCACACACCTCAACTAGAGCCCGCGTGCCGCAAACTACAGAGCCCACGTGCCCTGCAGCCTGCGCACCACAAGAGAAGAGAAAAACCCGCACACCACAACTGGAGAGAACCCTGCTCGCCACAATGAAGAGCCCGCGCACCACAAAGATCCCGCATGCCTCAACGAAGATCCCGCATGCCGCAACTAAGACCCGACACAGCCAAAAATAAATAAAAATAAATAATAACTAAATCTTTTTTTTAAAAAGTAAAGAGGTGTAAAAAGATATACCATGCTAACACTAATCAAAAGAAAGCAGGAAGAGTTTTATTAATTTTAGACACAGCCAACTTCAGAGCAAGGAAACTTACCAGGGATAAAGGCCATTATATAATGATAAAGGAGCCAGTTCTCCAAGAAGACATAACAGTACTTACTGTGTATCCACCTAACAACAGACCATCAAAATATGTGAGGCAAAAACCAATAGAACTATAAGGAGAAAACAATGAATCCACTATGATAGCTGGAGACTTGCACGCTCCACTATCAGAAATGGTCAGATCCAATAGGCAGAAAATCAGTAAGGATAAAGCTGATGTCAACACCACCATCAATCAATTGGATATAACTGACATCTTTAGCTGCTTCATCCAACAACAGCAGAACATAAGTTCTTCTCAAGCTCACATTAAATATTCACCAAGATAGACCACATTCTGGGCCATAAAACACATCTTAAATTTAAAGAAGAGAAATTATAAAATGCTTTGAGCGCCCAAAACCAATAAGCTGGGGATAGAGAAGCAAATCAGAGGACCCCATGAGGAACGATTCGGACAAATGCAGAATACAGGTGATGAGCAAGTTCATTTGTGGGACTGGAAAAGTTCTGAATCCTCATTGTGGTGGTTGTTACCTGAATCTATACATGTGATAAAATTGCACAGAACTATACGCACAAAAGAAAAAAAAATGAGTCCATGTAAAAAGTGGAGAAATCCTAGTATAGTCTGCAGTCTATTCTGTGCTGTCAATATCAGTTTCCTGGTTTTGATAATGTACTATAGTTATATTAACCTTAGGGAAAGCTGGGTGAAAGGTACATGGAATTTCTCCACACTATTTTTGCAACCTTTTATGAGTCTACAATTATTTCAAAATAAAGTTTTTTAAAATAAAAACAAAATCAAACCCAAAATCGAATCTATATGTCCAAGAAAGGTGCCAACAAATCAGACTAACAGCTATTTTCTATCACAACCACTGTTTATTTTTACATATTAAATTAATTCATCACCTATATTATCACATGAGATGATTAGGATCTCACATTTATTTTACTTGGTGTCCTGGAATGCTCTTTCACTTAGTTTCCCTAAATAAATCTTATTTGAAACTGAACTTTTTCAATAAAAGCAAAATAAGTCATGGTCCTTTGGGGATTCCACACTAACTTCATAACTTGGGAGTATACAACAGATTTTGCCCTCTACCACCTACTTAACACAGGCTCAGCGGCCACGGCTCACGGGCCCAGCCGCTCCGTGGCTTGTGGGATCTTCCCGGACCGGGGCACGAACCCGTGTCCCCTGCATCGGCAGGCGGACTCTCAACCACTGCGCCACCAAGGAAGCCCGAGGAACTATTTCCTTTTTATCAAACCTTCCAAATTATTTTATTTGTCTAATAATCCCTGCAATTCTTGAATATGCCTCAAAGAAATTTTTTAAGAAGAAACAAAAAAGACAGCCACAACTTGTTTATAAGTCCTCTGTTTATCGGGGGGAACCCATGCTAATTAGCAGTTAGCATTGTGGGCCTAACAAGAGTTTATTGGATAAACACCTAAGTGTGTGGATCAAAATCGTTAGTTAAGAGAGTGCTGGTTTACTGGCAATAAGCACTTTAATTATGGTTTCCCTTGGCTCTGCCATGGACTCAATTTCCTTCCTCTTTGCTTCATTAAAATTAACAGAATAAAAATGACACCAGATAAAAAGAAATGAGAACCAGAGCAAATTGTTTTCAATTAAACAAACCAGTATTTTACTTTTCTTGTGGTAGCAATCAATGAAAAATTTACTTTGGGAGTTTAATAAGGTCCATAAATGCTGAATTTTCAAAAGAACAGAATTCCACCCCACCTCTCCTAAATAAGGCAACAATGAGACTATCATCATAGAGTCTATTAATGAAAAGTTAAGTCAGACTTGATTTATTTATACTTTATTTTTTTAATCAGTAATGCACCTGGTACAAAATACAAAGGGTTCAAGGGGTATAGAGTAAAAAGTCTCTCTCCCATCCCTTCTCCTAACCATCTGGTTTCTCAACTCAGAGAAAATATTACTGGTTGCTTGGATATCATTCCACAGATTTTCTATGTATATACAAACACATATTTTCTCCTTTTTACACAAACCATAACACCCTATATATGCCTCTTTACTTTGCTTTTCCCAGTTAATATATACTAGAAATCATTACATATATGTATATAAAGCACTTCATTTATTTTTACAACTCTAACATTCCAGTTTTTAATTCCATAAATCCCATATCGATGGACATTTAAGTAGCTTATGATCTTCCGCTGTTACAAATCGTTCTCCAATAAGTATCTAGTACATATTTCACACGTGTATCGGTATATAGGTACAATAAATCCAGGGAAACAGAATTGCTGGGTCAAAGATTATGTGCATTTCTAAGTTTGGCAGATACTGCTGAAGAGTAGCAGAATATGTCACCTCAAAATCTGCCACTTTGCCACTTTATTTTGAGCTGTAGGCAC